CTATGAAATGCTTGCAGATTGCTCCATGCATTAATCTCAGTTGTAATGTTGCATTCCATGCTATAAGGAAATATGTAAGTTTTGCTTTATAACTTTGAAAATGTTTGCTCTGAACTTGTGAACCGAGGCACAGGAATTGTCCCCTCCTCCCACCCATCCAGAAGAATTATCAAAATCGCATGAGTCATTAAGGAACATCACAATGCAAAGGATTGGTTAATGGCCCTATCACACCTTGAAAATGCTATATTTAAGGAACCTCATCCTGTGGACTTGGAAGCTGAATGAAGGAAAAAACAAAGGGCAGGTCTACACTTAAAATGCTGCAGCGGTGCAGCTGCACCTCGGTAGCACTTCAGTGAAGACGCTACTACACCGACGGGAGAGCTTTTCCTATCCGCATAGTTAATCCACATCTGCGATAAGCAATAGCTGTTTCGATGGGAGAAGGCCTCCCATCGACACAATGCTGTCTGCACTGGGGGTTAGGTCAGTATAACTTCGTCGCTCAGGGGTGTGGGTTTTTCACACCCCTGAGTGACGTAATTATATTGATGAAGTTTATAGTGTAGATCTGGGGAAAGTTACAGGAAAATTTTCCCCTGGTGTAAATCTTGACATCAGATTACATCTCTATATGAGAGTAGAATTTTATCCTATGTAGATATGTTTTAGAGTGCTGTCTGAGGCAGTGACTGTGTATTTTGGTGTAAATTAAAGCAGTAAGCATGTTGTCTGTGCTAAACAAATTATTAATAATAATTACAAAAACAGTTGATCTATCCTAGTTAAAAAATGTAAATACACAAGTGCAGACTATCAGTTTTGATTGCTTGAGTTACAGGCTCTAATCACTTATTTTCACAAAAGACCTTAAGACAGCCATATCTCGGGTTGGCTCTTCTAGTCTTTGTGACCTTAACAATCAACATTTTTGTTAACATACGGCTTGGCAAATGAAAGCTGAAGTAACAAGGGAACTATCCCCTTGGATGTGTTTTTAAACATGTTTTCCATCAAGCATTTGCAAATGCTATATTTGAAATGCCTAATTAGAATCAATGAAACTATAAACCCATTTGGACACATTGTGAATTTTGATGTGGAGGAGGTAACCACTTAGAGGTACCCCTATTTGTTGCTGCTTCCGCAACTCCATGTCTTCTGATTTGTTTTGTGTGTGTCTCTGCTATTACCTACATACATATTAGGTCACATTTAACTGTTACAGCTTGTAACATCTAGAGTGCTAACTTTCCCCAAATCTACCTGAGGCCTCCAGCTAAAATCTGTGGTA